GAGAGAGAGAGAGAGAGAGAGGCAGAGACACAGGCAGAGGGAGAAGCAGGCTCCATGCACCGGGAGCCCGACGTGGGATTCGACCCCGGGTCTCCAGGATCGTGCCCTAGGCCAAAGGCAGGCGCTAAACCGCTGCGCCACCCAGGGATCCCTGGATATCCCTCTTTATGAAGTGGTTTCTCAAGTCTTATTCCTTTTTTTTTTTTTTAAAGATTTTATTTATTTATTCATGAGAGACATAGAGAGGCAGAGACATAGGCAGAGGGAGAAACGGGCTCCCTGAGAGAAGCCTGATGCGGGACTAGATCCCAAAACCTGGGGATCATGCCCTGAGCCAAAGGGAGACGCTCAACCACTTAGCCGCCCAGACGTCCTTTGTTCCTATTTCTAAATTGGATTGTCAAAAAAAACTTAAAGGTGTCTTTGTTGTAAATCAGGTGATTTGTTAATGTGTAGATCTGTTTCTAGACTCCTTATTTTTCCATTGATCTTAACTACTGTAGCTTTATAATAAGTCTTGCTATCTGGACAGTGAAGTCCTTCAGGTTTTTGTTGTTCCCTAAGATTATCCTAAGTTCTGTTGTATTACCATATACATTTCTGAATCAGATGATCACTTCCCAGCAAAAAAAGAAAAGAGAGAGAAAAGAAACACACTGGGGTTTTGCTTAGGATTGCATTGACTCTACAGATCGTTATTTGGGGGAGGAATTGAAGTATTAACAATATTGAGTTTTACAAGCCAATAATATAGTTTATCCCTCCATTTCTTTCATTTTTAACCATTATCAGCAGTGTGTTAGAATTTTCAATGTAGAGGCTTTACACATCTTTTTTTGGAAATGATACCAGTCTTTTAAATAATATAACAAACTATGTTATATATAGTATAATACAAATATAAGTATAGTAAAACTACGGGATATATAATACATTCATCCAAATTATAGTTCTATCAAGAGGATGCTTAGCAGTGACAAGCTGGATTGCTCAGATTTTAGGAGGAAAATTGCCTTCAGAGACCTTAACTGTAAAGTGACACTTTATGAATCAAACCAGAAAAATGAAAAGTCACCTTAAAGACAACGCCTCCTAACCTAAGACCTGGAAGAATGAATATATTAATATATCCGAAGAGACAATGTGTCAAGAGGAGTCATGGAGATAAAAACTCACTGCTCATCCAAAGGCCAGGTGAGTGCACCTTGTCAGGAGAACCCGAACACACAGGACAGGTATGGTGGGGGTGGTGGATCAAGCTAGTAGAAGCCACTGCCTTGTCCTGGTTTTGCATTCGCCAAGCACTCGGGATCATCTGGCTACTTACCCTGCTTCTAGGAAAAGAAAGTACTGGTGAAACGGGTGCAAGTATCCACCCACTCAACAGTTACATGTCTCATTGTAAGTGTCTCATTGTAAGTTCAGTCGGTACCCTGTCTTCTCTCCTGGTTTCCTAGGAGATTAATTAAGACAAATCAGCATCTCGGGGTCCTACCTAACCTAAGACATGGCTGAGGCTAGACTCTAGCATGAATTTGCCAAAATCAGTGCCACTTCATGAAGCCTCTTAGTGACCCTCAGAGTTAACTCAAGTATCCCATCCCAGCCTATGGAAATGTGTATAATGGACTTCATCAAAAGACTGGATATTTGAATTAGTTATATAAAAAATAAATAAAAACAAAATTTCAGCTAAATAGCTTTCACTCACTACATGCTATGTACCTTTTTCATCTCTCGAGATACAGAAAAATACAAAATCCCCACCTCTGTGGAGCTTACATTTTAGTGGAAGAAAGAGCTAATAGGTTTATAAAATGATATCAGTGTTAGCAGAGAAAAGGAACAGAGTGAGATATCATTGAGAGGATCGTATGAGGAGGCCCCTCTGGGGCATGATATTTGATCCAAGCCAAGGATGAAGTAAGAGTGAGCCACAGGGTTATATGTGGGCTGAGGACTCCAGGCAAAGGCCCCAAAGCAGCCTGCACTTGGCAATGAAGAGTGAAGTGAAGGGGCAGTGAAGCCATGAGGGGCCAGACTATCGGGCCTCGTAGGCTAGGTCAGGACTTTGCCTCCCACCCTACATGAGATGGCGAGGCCTTGGAGGGGATCTGACATGTTTGAAAAAGATCCCCGTGCTGATATGTTGAGAGCTGTCACAGGAAGAGTAACCTAGTAACAGGTGACAGCAGCAATCCAGGTGGGAGACTTGGCCAGGACAGTAGCGCTAGAGGGGTGAGAAGCAGGCTGACTGGAGTTAGGTTGCAAAATTAAGCCAGTACACTGCGCTAGTGAACTGAGTATGGATTAAAAAAAAAAGAAAAAGGTGACGCCAAGTGGGAGGCCTGAGCAACTGGAAGGATGAAATTGCCAATCCCTGAGGTGGGGACCTGGGGAGCAGCAGTGGAGGGAAGGGGTAAGTGATTAGAAATTAGATTGGCGGGGATCCTTGGGTGGCTCAGCGGTTTCGCACCTGCCTTTGGCCCAGGGCGCCATCCTGGAGTCCCGGATCAAGTCCCACATCAGGCTCCCGGAATGGAACCTGCTTCCCCTCTGCCTGTGTCTCTGCCTCTCTCTCTCTATGTGTCTATCATAAATAAATAAAAATAAATCTTTAAAAAAAATTAGATTGGCTATGCTTTAGACATTCAGGTGGAGGGAAGAGAAGGTTGTAAGGAGGAAATGATAAAATGCTCAGAGAGGTCAAGTAAGAAGAGAGGTCAAGTAAATGCTCAGAGAAGTCAACTTGTCAAAGGCCAAGATTTGACAGTTGGATTTGGAGGTCACTGGTAACCTTGATCCTCTAAAGAGGAACATGGCTGGAGGAGGATACAGAGGTCTAGGAAGATTTTTGCATTTTAATCATTTTTGTCCTGTTTCGTTTTGAAGTTTAGAAGCTAGTACATTAAGTTGGAAGGAAAGGGTGATAATTGAGAAGAGAGGAAGAGAGCAGACTATGAGAAAGGAGAGACAATTCTAGGAGCAGCATCTGATGATGTGAGACGGGATGTCATCCAGGACAGAAGTCAGGGGCTGGTCTCAGGTGGGAGCACAGGAAGGAAACAGAGCTAGTTTGCAGTAGGAGGATAGAACAGCTCTTTTGATCACTAGGTTTTCTTGGTAAACTAAGAAGCAAGGTCATGAAATGTAACCATCATGAAGGCATGAAAGGTAACTATTATAAAGGCCAATGACTTCAAACCTGAGGAGGTGTTGTCTCCATTAGTGTTTTCGATTAAAGTATAAAGGTCCAAAATAGTGCAGTGGAGCAAAAGAAAAAATAGGTAAATCCAACATCATCAAAATTAAGAGCTTTTTTTTGCATTCAAGGGCACCCATCAGGAGAGTGAAAAGACAAGCCACAGAATAGGGGAAAATATTTGCAAATCATGTATCTGATAAGGGTTCATATCCAGAAAATATAGAGAACTCTTCAGTTCGATAGCAAAAAAACAACCCAAATACAAAGTGAGCAAAGGACAGGAATATACATTTCTCCAAAGAAGATACACAAATGGCCAGCAAGCATGTGCTTAGTTACACTGCGACTCACATCAGACCCATTTAGCATCACTGGCACACACACACACACGCACACAATAAACAAGTGTTAGTGAGGATGCGGAGAAATTGGAATCCTCATGCATTGCTGATGGGAGTGGAAAATGACGCAGAGAAAGTTTGTTGATTCCTCAGCAAGTTAAACATAGACTTACTGGGTGATAGCAATTCCACGCCTAGGTATCCACCCCCCAAAATTGACACCAGGTGTTCAAACAAGAGCTTGTACACAAATGTTCATAGCAGCATTATTCACAATATCTAAAAGGTGAAAATGACCCAAATTGTCCAGCAATGAACGAATGGTTAAACAGCATGTGGTACATCTGTACAGTAGAATATTATTCAGCCACACAAAGGAATGAAGCCCTGATACATGCTATGGCATGAGCCTTGAAAATATGCCAGTGAAAGGAGACACAAAAGGCCATGTATTGTGATTATATTTATATAATATCCAGAACAAACCAACCCACAGAGACTGGAAGCAGATTAGTGGTTGCCAGGATCTGTGTTGAAGGCATAGTACAGGGTAAGGATTTCCATTTGGGTGATGGAAAGGTTCTAAAACTAGGTAGTGATGATGAGTGTCCAAGACTGTGTGAAGCAGACTAGTGCCATCTTGGGCGAATGTGCCATTGATGACAGCTGTGTGACCTAAGCTTTCTTGAGCACAGCCCCCCCACACACACACACACATTCTTTCCTTTTGTTTAACCAGGCCTTTAAGTGATCTGTCCTAGAAATAAGACTATGACACACACCTATTCTTTTTGGTGTTGTTGTTTTAAGGGAGGAAGGGGGCAGAGAGAAAGAGAGGGAGAGAGAATCTCAAGCAGGCTCCACGCCCAGTGCAGAGCTTTATCTCACAACCCTGAGGTGATGACCTGAGCTGAAATCAAGAGTTAGATGCTCAACTGACTGAGCCACCTGGGCGTCCCAGCACACACTTATTCTTAACCATTCTTCCACTGGATGGACTCCTGGCCCCTACGACTAGTAAAGCAGGTCTTAAGGGAGGTGGGGTTTGGGAGATCTACTGGTCTTGGGGCAACCCTGGGATACACTTCTGTCTGTAAGTCTTCTTAATAAACCATTACTTGTTAAGCTGGACTTGTCAGCCTTTTTCTTCAGTCTTCCTGCTTTCTCAGCCTTCAGAGGTCATTTTGCATAAACCCCCTTTCATTGAACAAACAGCGAATGTATTTGCACCACTGACTTATACACTTTTAAAATGGTCACCAAGGTAAGTTTTATGTTATATATATATTACCATAATAAAAAAAAAGTTCTGTTATATTCAGATGACATTATTTAAAGAGATGAAATATATTTTAATATATTTCTCATTCAGTGTAATTCTGGAAATTATGGGATTTTTTTCAAGCTGAAAAAGACCATAGGGATTAATGGCTTATGCCTGTATTGTAGTTTATTGAAAATATTCAGCAACTTTTAATTATCACAAATATTAGGATTCATTCTCTTATTGGAACTCTTCTACCAAGAGGTTTACAATTCTCTCTCTGACTCATTGTTTTGATACTGACTCTGAACTCAAAAAATTAACCTAGCAGAAACAAATGACATTTGATTAAGTGTGAGTCAACAAAGCATAAACCATTTTCATTTATTCCTGACCCCATTGGCATTGGGGCCATCACAAATTGTGTAAAGTCATTAGCCTATGTGTTCAAATAATATATAGTCTGACTTTCTTCATGCTATAAATTACTGTAAATCCAAGTGTATAGAACACTTTGACTAAGAATATTAAATCAGTATTTGTCCCATGAGCTATGCATACTTTTATCAATTTACTTTTCAAATAAAGTTCTGTAACAAAGTCACTTGTTGCCATACAGCTTTTTATAATGATTCTACTTAATAAAATATTTGCAAAATTAATAATAAAGCATTTACTTGTGGCGAAAACAAAGAATTTTCCAAAAACTGGAAAAGCATTTTTTTCAAGCAAAATTTCAAATTACAGTGTTAATCTCATCTTTAACTCTGTAAAGGTATATCACACACGATCTTTAAAGTTTCACTGCATTTCAGGATTGTTCTTGAAGAGATACTCTGCCTATAATCGAAAGAAAAAAAAAGGACCAATCAATTTAGAAAACACTACTACCAATGTTTACAATTTAAAAACAAAAGTACATAATTTTTTACTTTTAAATGAGTAATAAAATCTTACTATAGACTGTAAAGGTTTTAGAGGCTATTTCCCAAATAACCAGACACACATTTTCTATATCTCAACTAGCTTTTTGTTTAGATTCAGGCATCGTTTCAAATTGATTTTTTTTTAAAGATTTTAGGGATCCCTGGGTGGCGCAGCGGTTTGGCGCCTGCCTTTGGCCCAGGGCACGATCCTGGAGACCCGGGATCGAGTCCCACGTCGGGCTCCCGGTGCATGGAGCCTGCTTCTCCCTCTGCCTGTGTCTCTGCCTCTCTCTCTCTCTCTCTCTCTCTCTCTCTCTCTCTGACTATCATAAATAAAATAAAAATTTAAAAAAAATAAAAATAAAGATTTTATTTACTTATTCATGAGAGAGGCAGAGACACAAGCAGAGGGAGAAGCAGGCTCCCTGCAAGGAGCCTGATGTAGGACTCGATCCCGGGAGCCTGGTGTCACACCCTGAGACGAAGGCAGACATTCAACCACTGAGCCACCCAGGTGCCCTTCAAATTGATATTTTTTAAAAAATTATCTCTTACCAGAAAATCAACAGGATCATCCGGTCTGACCTTACAACACTCGTTCAAACCCTGCATCAGTGTTGGCATAACGTGGGTCATCAAATAGTTTCTCAGGGGAATAGACTGGGCCTCTAGTAATTCTCTTTCTTCTCTTTTTACTTCCTCTAGCCGCTTATTCTACAGAATAACAGAACATTTAGGGGTTAGGGTAAACAGATAGAAAGGGGAGAACCTGATTCATCCCAGAGTGCATTAGAACCAGATATCGATGTGTGTGTTCACATTATGGTAAAGATGGCATTTCAAACAGTGGAGAAAAGATGTAAATGGTGTTTAAAAAAAAACTGCTCAGTAATCTGGAAAATAAATAATAAACTAGATCCCTAACTCATTTCTTAAATCAAGATAATTTCTAGCTGCCCAGATGAAGAAAGAGTGAGAAGATGGGAAGGAAGGAAAGAATCACAGAAGTGCTAATAGAAAGGTATTTGTCTGGTGGATATGTTATTTCTTGCTCAGTATATGGTCCCTTCTCTCTTGGAAATAGTAATTCCAGATTTCCTTTGAGCAGTCTCCCTTTTTAGCCTGGTGGTTTAGGTGAGACTTAAGCCCATCAGTCCAGTCTGCCTCCCAACTGTGGATGTTAGTAAAGGATAAGCACATCAGGTGGAACCTAAGGATGATGCCAACGTGGAGGGCAGAGCAGAGACAGGGACCCCAGGTCTTGGTGACATTTGAGCCACTATATCAAGACTTGCCTGAAGCCAGCCCTACCCACTGGACTTCAATGTAAATCCGTAAGTTTTCTTTATTTCTATGCCATTTTGAGCTTGCCTTTCTGTCACTTGCAAGATAAAGAGTCCTAACCAATATTATTTGTTCAGAAAGAGTCTTTCAGCAAGACAGCAAACCCAGAAATCAACATGGGAGAAAGATTGATGGATTTGACTACATACAAACAAAACTTCTTTATGTCCAGAAGAGACACCATAAATGCTGTCAAAAGATAAGTGATGAGCCGAGAAACACTCTTTGCAACATACTATAAGAAGCGAGGCTATTACGAGATACACACAATTTACCAGGCATTGATCACATACTTCTGCACAGACTGACTCACCACCCCTGTTGCTGTATGAGGCAGGTGCTATCAGCTTCATTTTACAAATGGAAAAACTGAGAGAATAACTGACGAGGAGGAGGAGTGGGACTTGGAGTCCAAGCAGCACAGCTTGGGAAACTGTTATCTCCCTAGGCCATTCCTGTTTCTATTACTTTACCTGATCAGAAGCTGTTCTTGCCAAATACTAAGGAAAGGAGACCCAGCCCAAAGTGAGCAGAGAAAACTTGCAACAGAGGAAGTATAAATGCCAACTAACATAGGAAGAGTTGAACATCCTGACCAGAGAGATGAACATTAAAGCAGTGGGATGGGGTTTTCTTTATCAGGTTGATATTCATGAGCACAACTGACCAAGCAGGGTTGGAGGAGGAGTAGAGAGAGCCACTGGTAGACAAGGTGTCAACTGCTTTACCCTTGCTGGAAGGGACTTTTGAAATAGGTATCAAAAATTAAGCCATGTATAGTCTGATCTAACAAAATTTAGGAATCCATGCTAAGGAGATAACAAGGCACCCCAAGATGTGTGCATAAGGACATCTTTCCTTCATCTCCCCTTCCTTCTGCAAATATTTGTTGAGTGTCTGTTATGTGCCAGGTACCGTCCTTGGCATTGGAAATTCAGCCACGAACAACATAGACAAAAGTCCTTGTCCTCGGGATCCCTGGGTGGCGCAGCGGTTTAGCGCCTGCCTTTGGCCCAGGGCGCAATCCTGGAGACCCGGGATTGAATCCCACGTCGGGCTCCCGGTGCATGGAGCCTGCTTCTCCCTCTGCCTGTGTCTCTGCCTCTCTCTCTCTCTGACTATTGTAAGTAAATAAAAATTAAAAAAAAAAAGTCCTTGTCCTCATGTAATTTAAATTCTGTGCAAAGACGACAAGATAAATATATAAAATATTTAGTCCTTTAGAATACGTGCAAAGAGGGAAACTGCAGAGTATAAAAGGAAGTATGACGTACTGTGGGGAGTGGCAGGGGTTGAAATCTTAAATATGGTGTCCAGGAAAGGCTTCATTGGAAAGATGACTGTACCAAAGACTTAAAGCAAGTAAGCAAGTTAGGCAGATGGTGTATTGTTGAAACGCACTGGGAAACATTAGAAGCAGCCAGGTCACCAAGAACCTTGAGAGCCGTGATGATGAGTTTGGACTTTGGTTTCACGGTGATGGAAGCCTATAAAGTGTTTTCAACAGGGCATGGCCCGCGTGGATCTGTGTGTTAGAAGGGCTGCTGGGAACAGGCTGGGGAAGGACAAGAGCACAAGTGGCGCCATGGGAAGACCAATGAGTAGGCCCCGTAATTCTGGTGAGAACCCCTGCCCCTGATCAGAAGTGAGGAGCTGTGGGTGGATCCGAGTGCAATTTTTGGAAGCAGAATAGATAAGACTCACTGATTGGGTGAATCGAGAGGGTCAATGAGGCTCACCACCCAGGTGAGATGGGTCAATGGAGGAAAATCAGATGTAATCCTGAGGTTGGCATGAAGCACAATGTGACCCATTTACTAGGATCTGGGAAATCAATACTCCTGGCGATGGCTAGTTACTATTACTGTGATCACTCACACCAAGCAAAAGACCATGCATGGGCATCTTTTAGGAAATGGTCATATGACAAAACAAACCAAAACCAAAATAAACCAAAACCAAAATGTGTTGGGGTATTTCCATGATCTTTCACTACGAGCAGGATGGCAAGTGCAGCTGGCCTAAGTGGCTGGGCGCCCCCACCCCAGACCCCCACACACACTCACTCACCCACTCCTCCCAGCGAGCCATCTTCTCGGCCATTTCCATGGCTTCCTTGTGCTCACGCTCTGCTTCCTCCATCATCTCCCTGGCCAGTCGTTCCTCAGCAGCCCTCCGCTCCTCTTCTGCCTTTTCTTCATCCGTTAAACCATAATTTCGAGGCTCCCCAATCTCTTTGATGAGCTGTTTGATGGCAAGTCTGTTCTGAGAGTCTTCAAGTTTTCCTACATCTTTAAAGACCAGGAGAGAGGAAGGAGGTCACCACATACTTAGATTCTGCAACATTCTCTGAGACCATATTCGGGAAAATTCTTTGTTAATATAAACATCCCATGGTAAGTTATGGAAATTACCACACTGGGCTTTCTTGTCACAGTGGCCAGCACAATTCAGAATTTCTTATCTTACTGGTGAGTATCAGCCCTGTGTCTGGGAGTCATGGGGCGCGGGAAGGCTGAGGCTCAGTCTCTGAGCTGTGACAGTGTTGATTTTGAATGGGGATCAGGGAGGGAATGGACCTCCTCAAAACAAACAAACAAACAAAAAAACCTTCTCCATCCCTGGAAGCATCCAAACAGAGATTGGGATGCTTCTGTGGGGGTTTCCACAGGAGGAAGTCCTGTTCTTGCTGGAAGCCAAGCAGGCTTTCCCCCATGTTTCTTTTGTTTTCTGTTTCTAAGAATCAATGATTCTGGGACACATTTTTAATTCATAAGAAAAACAAGCCATTTCAGTTAGCCTACTTAAATAGGCAAAAGTCCAAATTCCAGAATGTCTGAGTAATGTCAATATCAAGACCAAAAAAAAAAAGAAAGCAGTTGTTGGTAAACAATGGGTTTCTCCACCAAGTAGGTACAGGAAATCCTACATCACCATCTTGGGTTTGCTTGGAAGGTGCCTGCAAAGAAGGTTTTGCGGTGGAAGATTTTGGTTTTCAGCACCTCAGACCTTCCTACAGGAAAGGACCTTCTTGTCATCCTGCCCCCAGGCACACCCACTTCCATGCCCCCTTCCTATGTTCCTACAGTAGGACCTTGACCCAGACTAGAGGCACCTCAAGCTTCTGTGGGGGAAGAGGTGAAGAACTGAGCCAGTGTATCAGGTGGTGGTTGAGGAAGCAAGCCACCAAAAGCAAACAAAATAAAACTCATATATTACACCTGTTTCCTGCACTATGACATTAAGTGTGTTTCTCCCGATTTCTCTAACAGAGTAATACAACTTGATGTCCTTGAAAGTGCTCTGAAACACTTTTGAAGAGGCTCACTTTCAGAGAATAGTGCTGCCCAAACCAGTACTTCCTCTGCCCTGACCCTGGTTGGGGGTGGGAATCTGCTCAAACCACGATCTCGGATTTGTCCTTCTAGGGATGTGTTATTAGGGCAGAAAGTCTGGTAGCTCTAGGCTTGGCTCCCAGGGTGCTGTGGAAACCCTTGGGTTGTGGGGTGGCCCCCGTCCACTACATGGGTGAGGGAGGAGAGTTGCTGGTCCAAAGAGCCAGGGAAAGAGATTCCCAAGGGAGAAGAGGAGTCCAGAGGTGCAGAGGGAGAATGCCGATGCCAACCCCGTTCCTGATCCTTCTGAGGCTTGTCTGCATTCCTGACCTTGACACCTTCCCCCACATCCATCCCTAAGATCCATTTCTCCCTCCCCTTTTATGTCCTCTCCTTAGTGTCAGGGTGGCTAAATGTGACAGGCACAGAATGAGACAGGAACATAATGACCACTCATCCATTCCTCCCCATCAGTTCTTTCTCAACATTTCTCCCGGGGGCGGGGGCGGGGGGTGGTGGTGGAGTCTCTTGAATCTCCATAAATAACTTTCTGAGCTTTACTGAAAAGACGGCAATCTCTGTTTTTGTGAAATTTGCTCACCATTCTCTCCCAGTTCTCTAAGCAAACAAGGTGAGCTACTTTCCATACTGGTAGATTCAAATCCTAAGGTTTTATGTGTAAAATGTGTGTCCAGGGGCACCTCAGTGGGTGAAGCATCCACCTTCAACTTGGGGTCCTGGGATCGAGCCCCACATCAGGCTCCCTGCTCAGCGAGGAGCCTGCTTCTCCCTCTCCGTTGCTCCCACCACCACCTCTTCTCATGCTCTCTCTTGCTCACTGTATCTCAAATAATAAATCTTAAAAAAATAAAAATAAAACACATGTCCAATGTGCACAGACACATCCAGATGAGGACAAAACCCACTCACTTCCACAGGTGTGAAGCAGATTTATAAATTGTGTTATCTTTTCATTGCTTAATAGCACACTATTTTGGGATGCCTGGGTGGCTCAGCAGTTGAGCGTCTGCCTTTGGCTCAGGGCCTGATCCTGGATTCCCAGGATTGAGTCCCACATCGAGTTCCTTGTGGGGAGCCTGCTTCTCCCTCTGCCTGTGTCTCTGCCTCTCTTTCTGTGTCTCTCATGAATAATTTTTTTTTAAATAGCACATTATTTTATGCCTTAGTGTTGGTAGTAAATAACAAAGTTAGTTACCAGTCAATTTGAATTGTTGAATTTTCCGGTGTGCCAGACAATTCCTATCTCTGAGCTCGACATTTGTAACAACTCTACAGGCCAGGGATTATTTCCCTGTTCCACAGATGAGAACACTGAAGCAGAACCAGATCTGAAATCAGCTCTCCTGTCTCATGCAGACATGGCTCCTTGGCTCTACACCTCCCAGTACTCTAGGGTCAAAATGCTGTCCCCTCTGGCTCTTGAGGGTAAAGAGAGACCCTGAGAGCCCCAAGGAGTCAGTCTGGCCACTAGGCTTCCACCAGGCTAGGGGTTTCCTACCAAACCCAGGGGAGGAAGAAATGTCAAGATCCAGGAAACCAGAAAGGAAGTTCAGTGGTTCACCAAGCCAAGGGGATAGAAACACCTATGACAGGGGATCCCTGGGTGGCGCAGCGGTTTGGCGCCTGCCTTTGGCCCAGGGCGCGATCCTGGAGACCCGGGATCGAATCCCACATCGGGCTCCCGGTGCATGGAGCCTGCTTCTCCCTCTGCCTGTGTCTCTGCCTGTCTCTCTCTCTCTCTGTATGTCTATCATAAATAAATAAAAATTTAAAAAATTGTTTAAAAAAAAAAAGAAAGAAACACCTATGACAGCTGAGATTTGGAGCTAGGAACAATGATGACCACCATGAGGTTGATGACATGTCCTCCTATTTACTGAGTGCCTGCTGGGTGCTAAGATCTGAGTTAAGTGTTTACTGTAAACAAAGAGGAATGCCCTGAAAAACAATTTGTGTTCGGAGTAGCTGTGGGGATCAGATGGCCAGTGTAAAGGCCAGGAGGCACTCTGTGATGAACACCAGTGCCCTACAGTGCTGTGGGGACAAAATGCTGCCCCAAAGCAGTCAACAGCAAATACACGTATCTCTGAAGTGTCCTTTAAAAAAAAATGCCAATTTGGCATTTGGTTTCATGACATATCCAATACATTTTCATATAACAATACCCGCTCCCCCCCACCCCCCACACACACACCACCAAATCCTCAAGGAGAAGGATTCTCCAGGAGGAATGCCCTGCTGATCCTGTGACCTCCTGGCCCTGGGGACATAGTTATGCTTCCCCATCACCCCCCAACCCTGTCAGCCCTATGATAGGTATGCACCAGGGGGTGCCTGGGGGTCCCGACACTTGGCAGTGGTTCTTCACATTCACCTTAGTCTTGGGTTCATTTCATACCAATATGTATCGGGTGGATTTCAATTTCATCGAAATAGTTCAAGACCGTCTCATCTTCAGTATTGAGATCCCGATAGTTGCTCAGAGCCCGGAGGAAGCGGTCCTGGCTGTAGTGGGTCCCCGCCACGATGCTCTCGGGAAGGTTCATCACCCGCTCCTTCAGGAACTCATCCGAGGCATCCAGCACACAAACGAACTCTAAGGGAGAGAGGCTCCTGAGTTAACCCACAGATGAAGGGGCTGACTAGCAGGTGCTCGTGGCTGGGCCAGTGCTTACCCGAAATGTCTGGTAACCAGCCTGGATCTCATGACAAATTGGCCTTCTTGCTTCTCATGGAGGATAAATAGATAAAAATCACTGACATTTCCAGACACCATCCCCTATGAGGCCCAACCATTGGCCATAGTATTTTATGAGATCTGTTATTTTTCTATTCCCCCCCTTTCTTCCTTCCTCTATCTTTCCTTCCTTCCCTCCTTTTAACAAAAGCAGCAGAAACTAGAAATAGCAAATATCGAATGACAATTAGTAGCAAATCTAATCATTGAATACAAACAAATCCAGTAACTAAAAGCAGCAGAAATCAGAATTAGTGCATCTCTGATAACCCTGTGACATCAACCACCTCCTCGTCAACACCCATCCCACCTCTTTGCCAGCACAGCACAGAGGCTCCCAGAGACTAGCAGCTGGGTGAACTGATGGCCAATTTGGCAAATTAATAAAAACAAGGACTCCCCTTGGGAATTTAATCCCCCAAGGACCCAGCTCTCTTCTCACTTTCTGCAAATGGCTAGGAAGCACCTGCCTTCCATTTAACACAGCGCTTATCTGATGTTTGACGCGGGACTCAGGTTAATGATGGGGATCATTTCACCCACCTATGATTTTCTTTTAAACTATGAAAGGGGAGCCCCAGTGGCTCAGCGGTTTAGCGCAGCCTTCAGCCCAGGGCGTGATCCTGGAGACCCGGGATGGAGTCCCGTGTCGGGCTCCCTGCATGGAGCCTGCTCCCCCTCCCCTCTGCCTGTGTGTCTGCCTCTCTCTCTCTCTATGTCTCTCATGAATAAATAAATAAAATATCAAAAAAATAAATTATGAAAGCAGCTGTTCCTCCAGCTTCTAGTATAAGTTCAGTGAACATTTGTTGAGTGAACGAATGATTAAAGTGCACATCAGTGAAAGACTTTCTAGGTGAGTTACTATTCTCAGGAGTTCTCAACATGGTCAGAGTACGTGGGTGCCCCGATCATTAACCACGTGTATCCCAAATAACTTGCTACCTGTAAGAGTCGCAAAGCATGGGACTGTTTTCATTTTTATCCTAGAATTGTATTGGTTCCCCGTGGGCCAAATCCGGCCCCTCATCTGATTTTGTTAATCAAGTTTTATTGGAACATTTAAAGATAAATAAGTTAATAAATTAAATTGTATTAGTTTGCCACCTAATAAATGCCACTTTCACTCAAATGCATTCTAACAAGATTTTTTGAGTGAGTGAGAAAAGAAGTGTATTACTGAGCAGATCCCAGAGCAGAATGTGCCCGTGGGGCAAGTGGACACCCCTTGGTACCATCTGCTTCATGTGAACAATGAAAATAAAGGTTGAGGACAGAACTGGTGGAAAAAGATCCAATAAATTCATAATTGTAGTCTGATCCTGCCACTATTCTGACCTATTTTCATTTAGTTTAGATGCTCATCTTTGATCATTTGATTTTCATGAATGGCTATATTTTGAAAAGGAGAGGAGATAGCTGGACCTCCAAAATGCTGGTATAGTATTTAGATTGAAATTATGTCAATGGGGATGCCAGGGTGGCTCAGTTGGTTAAGCGTCTGCCTTTGGCTCAGGTCATGATCCCGGGGTCCTGGGATCGAGCCCAGAGTCCTGCTCCCTGCTCAGCGGTGAGCCTGCTTCTCCCTCTCCTCCCCACTCAATCTTTCTCTCACTATCTCTGTCGTGATCTCTGTCTCTCTCAAATAAATAGAAAAATCTTTAAAAAGAAATTATGCTCATAAAATTACTGGAATTTGAATCTAGTTAAGCTCCATGATGCCAGGCATTTAGATGAAAAATTAATAATTCTGGGGGATCCCTAGGTGGCTCAGCGGTTTAGCGCCTGCCTTCAGCCTGGGGCGCGATCCTGGAGTCGCGGGATCGAGTCCCACATCGGGCTCCCGGCATGGAGCCTGCTTCTCCCTCTGCCTGTGTCTCTGCCTCTCTCTTTCTCTCTATCATGAATAAATAAATAAATCTTTTTTTAAAAAATAAAAATTAACAATTCTGTTTGTAATCTAAGAATTTTAAAATATGATGCTGGGGGTCCTTGGGTGGCTCAGTAGGGTAAGCATCTGCCTTCGGTTTGGGTCATGATCTCGGGGTCCTGGAATTGAGCCCCTTGTCGGGCTCCCTGCTCAGTGGGGAGTCTGCTTCTCCTCCCTCTGCCTCTGTGTGCTTGTGTCCTCTCTCAAATAAATCTTAAAAAAAAAAAATTCAAGACTGTATTTCTTTTCCCCAGTGATTGGAAGAAGGAAGATTCCAAATAATCAAATAACTATGAACACTGAGTGATGTATTTTGCTTCCAACTTTCAGAGAATTTTAGCATGATGAAATATATTTCCCAATGGATGATTGATTGATTGATTGATTGATTAGCTCTACACCCAAGGTGGGGCTTGAACTCATGACCCCAAGATCAAGAGTGGCGTGCTGTACTGACTGAGCCAGGCAGGTGCCCCCAGATGATATTAAAAGTCCTTTCTCTCTTATGATTCAGACAGAACTTCAGGATTTTGCAGTATCACAAGATAATTATTCAGAACATCTACGATCCTGGTGAGACAGGCTGGCTCAGTCAGTTGAGCATCCAATTCTTGATTTTGGCTCAGGTCATGATCTCAGGATTGTGAGACTGAACCCCATGTTCACTTCCCACTTAGCTCAGAGACTGCCCACTTAGCTCAGAGTGTGCTTGGGATTCTCTTTTTCTCTCTGCTCCTCCCCCTGCTCATGCGCTCTCTCCCAAATAAACAAATAAATAAATAAGTCTTTAAAATATAGGAACATCTATTGTCTTTGTACTGGCTAACTACAAATAGCAAGTAACAGATTTTTGCTTGGTAAGATTGTACCTAACAAGGAGGTCACTGTGTTTGACTATCTAGAGTGATATGAAAATCTGTACTTTTTTTTTTTAAAGATTTTCTTTATTTATTCATGAGAGAGACACAGAGAGAGAGAGAGGCGTAGACACAGGCAGAGGGAGAAGCAGGCTCCATGCAGGGAGCCTGACGTGGGACTCGATCCCGGGTTTCCAGGATCACACCCTGGGCCGAAGGCAGGCGCCAAACCGCTGAGCCACCCAGGCTGCCCTGTACTTTTTTTTTTTTTTTAAGATTTATTTACTTGAAAGGGAGAGAAAGCATCTCAAGCAAACTCCCCACTGAGCTTGACACAGGGCTTGACTTAATGACCCATGAGATCAATGACCTGAGCCAAAATTATGATTTGGACACTTAACCAACTGAGCCACCCAGGTGCCCCTGAAAATTTGTGGGGCTTTGTTTTTGTTTTTTAAATATTTTATTTATTTATTCATGAGAGACATACAGAGAGAGGCAGAGTTACAGGCAGAAGGAGAAGCAGGCTCCCTGCAGGGAGCCTGATGTGGAACTCGATCCCAGGACCCTGGGATCACGACCTGAGTTGAAGGCGGATGCTCAACAACTGAGCAACCCAGGTGCCCCAAAAATCTGTGTTTTAAAACATTTTTTCCATATTCATCAAGCAGGCACAAATGTATTTATTTATTTACACTTAAAGTAGGCTCCATCTCCAATGTGGAAATCCAACTCATGACCCTGAGATCAAGAGTGGTGTGCTCTCCCAACCAAGCCAGGCACCCCAAGCAGGTACAACTTTAATCTTGTCTGCTTCAATGAGGAGATTTGAAAATAATTGAGCTGGATGCAGGCTAGCAGCAGTTGTAAAATGCAATGGTTTATCAAGGAGAGATAATACCACCTATAACTGGATCACCATAGATTCAAATGTTTTGTCACTCAAGTCAAGCATGGAGACTAGTATTAATTATGTTATTTTCTACATCTAATGATGTTCTGATTTCAGGGGAGCCTTACAGACCTGGAGGGAGACTGCCCTTTTCAGGACTGGCTAATTCCTAAAGATACTCCACTACTTACTCAGGATCATGCCCCTCATATACAGGACGACTACCCCATATTTATTTCTTTTTCTTTTCTTTTTTTTTTTGAAGATTTTACTCCATATTTTTTTTTATTTATGATAGTCACAGAGAGAGAGAGAGAGAGAGAGAGGCAGAGACATAGGCAGAGGGAGAAGCAGGCTCCATGCACCGGGAGCCCAACGTGGGATTCGATCCCGGGTCTCCAGGATCGCGCCCCAGGCAAAAGGCAGGCGCTAAACCGCTGCGCCACCCAGGGATCCCCTTAGTCCATATTTATAACTCGCACATACCAAGCCAATATTTACCCTGCCTCAATTCATCCCAGAGCCAGGTACCAGGCAACTAGAGAGCAAAAGCTACTAGAATTGGCTCAAACTAGCCAATCCTCTGAAAAACAGTCTACTTGGCCCCGCCTTGCCTTTCCCACAGAAACTCCAATTAAGGCAATGGCCTAGACTTCCCTCCTGCTTCTTCCTGCCTCCTGAGCAAGCCTGGCACTTCCCGCACACGACAGCATGGTACGGACACCCCCTGCTCTGGGAACCCTCCTTTCAGTGGCATTAACCTCTTGTGTCCTCACTTAGCCACATCCCTGTATTAAAATCCCACAGTTACAAATGACGCAATCCTCTAATTTCTTCCAGGAAGACAGAAAATAATGACAATTTCCAGAAAGAGGATAATTTACTAGGAACAAACTAAACATTCCAAACAGATGACATGTTCAACACGTTTGGACCACATCCAACAGAGAGAGGGCAGCCCAGTGGATCAAGGTTAAGAATCTTTTACCATTGCACACTTGTGATTCCATTTCCTGGAGGGGTTTCATTAATTCTGTGTTTTGGAGGCAGTGCAAAGAGAAAACCGAGTTTGAATTTAAGCCATTCCATTTACCAGGGCAGTGGCGTTGGGTAAGTCTCTGGGCTTTGGCTTCTGGATCAGGTAACCATGGGAGTAACTCCAGCCTGGCAGGACCGTGCAAAGGTTCAACTAGTTCCTATTTTGTGCAATTCCCAGCACAGGACCAATGAATGGTCAGGTTCACTGCCCCAGTGAGGGTGTGAGGATTTACGATGGGATTTGCAATGAATGAATGTTACCCAGAAGTGATAGATGCTTATAAACTAGACAGACCGTGTTATTTAATCGATTTTACTTTTTAACTTTCTCTGAGCCCAATGCATACATTAATGGAACTCCCAAACAACCCACCCCTTTGGTATTGCAAGTTCCCACTCCAGGCTTCAGGGCCCCCAGGCAAACCCTAAGTGTCCATCCCGAGGATGACTGCTTTCTCGTGGCCCCAGTGCTGCCAGAAGCTCCATGGAAAACTGTTCCTGGACCGAGGGGAGAGGATAACAGCCATACACTCACTCCTGTGGGGACTCTGACGTAGGTGAGCAGTGATCCCCACTGCCCAAGTGATCACCTTGGGCTCAGTTGCTGAAAAAAACTGTTTTTGTGTTTCCTATGATGATACTGCATGCAAACTGATTAAAAGACAACAACAACATTATTTAGGGGCACCTGGGTGGCTCAGTCGGTTGGGCATCTGCCTTCAGCTCAGGTCATGATCCCAGAGTCCCAGGATTGAGCCCCCGCATCCAGCTCCCTGCTCAGTAGGGAATCTGCTTCTCCCTCTCCCTCTGCTCCTCCCCTGCTCATGCTCTCTCTCTCACCCAAATAAATAAATAAATAAATAAGATCAAAATAAAGATTAAAAATAAAATAAAAATGTTTAAAAGATTAAAATAAAGATTAAAAAAAAAAACCTTTAGGGTCCCTGGGTGGCTCAGTAGTTGAATGTCTGTCTGCCTTTGGCTCAGGTTGGGATTCCAGGATCCTGGGATCGAGTCCTGCATCAGGCTCCCTGCAGGGAGCCTGCTTCTCCCTCTGCCTCTCTCTCTCTCTTGCTAATGAATAAAAAAATAAAATCTTAAAAAAAAAAAAACTTTAAAAGTTCAAGGCAAGGTCACAAGAAATGACTGCCAGGTACTCAGCAAATCTTTTTTCATGGAATAAATTGTTTACACTTTACTTCCAAGAGGACATTGTGCAATGTCTATTTACGAGAATAGTGAACCTAGAAGCTCTGCACCTGCCCAGTCTCAATCCTGGATTTGGGAAAGAGGGGGCAGATGATGGCATGGCTAGCACCTAAAACGGTAGGAAGGGTCTAGTCCCTGGTGGTCTTGCCAACTGACTCTGAAGTCAAGATATCAGGGGACCGGCCACCCTGTGCTTTGTTCCTGGAGGCAGCAGCAGAAAAGAATATTCTCAAAGGGGCTTCTGTCCGTTTCAGAATTTGGTATTCCTGATGTGTGCCCTCCATACATTCTCTAATTTGAGAATTTTGTTTAAGAGTATCACTGTGCCTTTTTTCCTTAAAAGAGAGAGAGATCTGCTAAAAGATGGTTCAGGTATACAATAGCATTCTTTTAAATATGACCTTCAAGAAATACTCTAAACTTACCAGGTATGATTAATTTATCAAAGGGCAACATTTTGCCTCTGACTTCTTCTTCTTCTTCCTCATCTTCTTCTAACAAAACAAAATTTACATCGTTGTGTTTATTACATGTTATCAGTACAGACAGCATGGCAAAAAATTTTAAATATTTTAACTAGAAGTCACTGATGAAAACTAACCATAAATAGAAAAGCATGTATTTCAGACACAGTCTCTCTCTGATTTTAAATTTTTAACTGAGTATTACGATGATACATTGCAACTAATCTGAATGTAAACACTCAAATGAAGGAGGGACACCTGGTTGGCTCAGTCAGCAGAGCATGCGGCTCTTGATCTTGGGGTAGTGAGTTCAAGCCCCATGTTGGGGGTAGAGTTTACACAAAGAAAGAAAGAAAAGTTTAATAAAAATAAAGAGAACAGGGGGATCCCTGGGTGGCTCAGCGGTTTAGCACCTGCCTTTGGCCCAGGGCGCGATCCTGAAGTCCCAGGATCGAGTCCTACGTCAGGCTCCCTGCATGGAGCCTGCTTCTCCCTCTGCCTGTGTCTCTGCCTCTCTCTCTCTCTATGTCTATTGTGAATAAATAAATAAAATCTTAAAAAAATAAAAATAAAGAGAACACTTAAACTTACGATTGAACAGGTCTTTAGCTTGATCATAGGTCTTTGGGAATCCATCCAAAATATAACCTTGATTCCTGCAAGGCATAGATTTCACTTTTTCTTTAATAAATCTAATTATATATTGATCTTCTAGTCGGCCTGGCAAAAAGAAAAAAATATATTATTAGGAAGCCACATTCTACATGGGGGTTACATTCAAAGTCATCTCAAAAATTGTTTTGTGGGGGGCACCTGGGTGGCTCAGTTAGTTAAGCCTCTGCCTTTGGCTCAGGTCATGATCTCAGAGTCCTGGGATCAAGCCCCACATTGGGCTCCCTGCAGAGACAGAAGCCTCTGCCTGCTGCTCCCCCTACTTGGGCTCTCTCTTTCTCTGTCAAATAAATAAAATGTTTTTTAAAAAATTAAAAAGAAAATTGTTGTGCAAAGTTACTACTGAAAATCCTTTATTTTCCCTTAAAGTTAAAAATATATGGTTTTGTACTTTAAACAAGACCTGTGAATTCTAATGTGACAGAAAAATAGGAGAATCCAATGAGCTCATCTGCAATAAAGAACAGAAGCAATTACTGATGTCTGCAGTTCCTGAAGGTTCTTCTGCAGTCACAACCTCCCGGTGAAGCTGAACAAGGAGCAAGTGGAGACATCCAAGTGCTCCCACTTCTCATCAGGGTTCACTAAATTCTGTTTTGATATTATGCCTTAATACATAGGCTTATAGCCTTAAGGCACAGTAATAATAGCCTCAATACATAGCAATAAATGTTTCTATTATAAGATTTAAGTGAGATAGTATTCATGTGTTGTCAACACATGACCTATTAATAGTGTAATAATAGCAATAAATATTTGCTGCATTGGAATAAAAATCACAATTGGGGTGCCTGACTGGCTCAGTGGGTAGAGCATGCAACTCTTGATCTCAGGGTTGTGAGTTCAAGCTCCATGTTGGGTGGAGATGACTTAAAAATAAAAATCTAAAACATTAAGTAAAAGTAAAAGTCAAGGGGATCCCTGGGTGGCGCAGCGGTTTGGCGCCTGCCTTTGGCCCAGGGCACGATCCTGGAGACCCGGGATCGAATCCCACATCGGGCTCCCGGTGCATGGAGCCTGCTTCTCCCTCTGCCTATGTCTCTGCCTCTCTCTCTCTCTGTGACTATCATAAATAAATAAAAATTAAAAAAAAAAAGTAAAAGTCAAGCTTGATCTTTCAAGCTTTAAAGCTGCGGGAAAGAACACCCTCTCCACCCCCATCTCTCCAAATCCTCATTCTTGACCTTGGCCCTACTACATAGTTCCCTCTCCAGCCTTGGATGCTGGGTTCCTGCGATGGTGTGACATCATGGAGGAGGGAGGAGTCTGTTCTTAAACTGGCACAATGGCTAAAGGGCAATAGGACGCGGCTTCACTACGATACTCATTTATTGTTCTATCATAATCATCAAACAACTACAGTTTCTGAGACACGGCCCGCCCTTACATGGTTTAACGAATGCATTACAGCACGTGAGTTTTTTTTTAATTTTTTTTTTATTTATTTATGATAGTCACAGAGAGAGAGAGAGAGGCAGAGACACAGGCAGAGGGAGAAGCAGGCTCCATGCACCGGGAGCCCGATGTGGGATTCGATCCCGGGTCTCCAGGATGGCGCCCTGGGCCAAAGGCAGGCGCCAAACCGCTGCGCCACCCAGGGATCCCTACAGCATGTGAGTTTAGCAAATTTGGGTAATTGAGCTACAAATTTCTTTTTAGTTTCATAACATACTTTTAGTTTATCAGTGTGTCTACAATGTAAAATAGTTTTGGTGTCTTCTAAAAAAAATTTTTTTTGAGAGAGAGAGAGAAGCAGAGGGAGAGAATCCCCAGCAGGCTCCACAGCCAGCACACAGCCCAACACAGGGCTCGATCTCCTGACCCTGAGATCATGACCTGAGTCGAAATCAAGAGTCAGATGCTTAACTGACGGAGCCACCCAAGCAGGAGCCCAGGTTTTTGGTGTCTTTTAATCACTGTATTAATTCAATAAAATGATGTAATTATAACACCCCTTCTTTCTTCTACCTTTCATTGCCACACCACTCGTTAGACAGTCACTGATTCAAAACTATTTGTGTCTTCCAGAAATTTAAATGTGAGGGCTGAGACAAAAAAAAAAAAAAAAAAAAGAAGAAGAAAGAAAAGAAAAAAAAGAAAAGAAAAGAAAAAAGAAAATCAAAGGGGTTATCTCACATCATGAAATTCGTCGAAATGATTTGACATTCTTTCCCAGTAGGGTTCACAGTGGTGCAAAGAAATAAAGGCAAATAAAAAAAAAGTCGGATTCAGCAAAATTCAAAGACCAGTGTTATCTAAGCAGTCTATTTCCGATTTTCCAAGGCTCTGTTGCTGAGGCAAAGGCACATACATACTCAGAAATCAAGCTTCAGGCACCTCCATGCCTCCCTCGGTTTATTTCAGGCAGTGAGCTCTGCTATCTGTTCCTGTTTGTTCCAGAGCTGACGCATTCAGGATGCAAGAAGGGACCTCTAGCAGCAGCTTCTGATAATTATGGAATGTGAGTACACAAAGGGCCAAGCCCAAGTGGCTCTCTCTAGAGAAGTGTGACCTCCGAGACGTGCACCCATGACCTTGGTAGCGTGGAGCTCCTTGGAAGGGAACTGTCACTTCCGCTTTGAAATGAATGAACACAGAACCTTTGAAATACCACCTGCTTTTTTTTTTTTTAATTCTAAGTCTATCTTTCACATTCAAGTAATATTTAAAATGCTCATCTTAATCCATATTCGTAATTATGAAAACACGGTTCAAAAATAGATAGGTGTATCCAAGGTTTTAAAAGAATCCATGCAGAGGAGGGATACCTGGGTGGCTGGGTAGGTCATGTGTGTCTACCTTTGGCTCCGACACTAATCCCAGAGTCGGGGTCAAACCCTACATCTTGAGCTCCCTGGTCAGGGGGGAGCCTGCTTCTCCTTCTGCCTCTGCCGCTTCCCCTGCTATCCTCTCTCTCTTGCTCTCTCTCAAATAAATAAAATCTTAAAAAAAAAAAATCCATGCACAGGATAAACACGAGGAACTTGGCACATTTACATATATCCTCCCTCTTCTTCCCACCGATTTTTATTTTCAAACTCACAGAAAGGTTGAAAGACCAGTCCAATGACCACCCGGAAGCCAACCAACCAGTTTCACTCATCCCACAATGCTTCTGAAACACATAAAGTGAGCACAAGGAACCTGCAACCGGTGCGTTCCAGGTTAGGCGAGCCCCTGCTTTGGCCGCATGGTCAGGGGCTGGGCCGGAGTGGATTGTCAGGACACGGAGGTGCCCACTGCGGGATTGTGAAATCTGTCCCGCTGGAATCGTTAGGGTTGTTTAGTGACAAATCGGGTCACGGGAGGGGAGAGTGAGCTACCCTCTGTGTCCTTGCTTGGGCGGTGACATTCCTTTGGAGGTCTGTGCTGTGAGTTCAAAGGTCTGGTTTTGTCCAAACACAATAATCAAGATCCATGTTCTAGTTTCAGGTAAATACGAATGAGAAGGATTTGAGGACAAACTTGGGGAAGAAAGAAAGAAAGAAAGAAAGAAAGAAAGAAAGAAAGAAAGAAAGAAAGAGAGAGAGAGAGAGAAGGAAGGAAGGAAGGAAGGAAGGAAGGAAGGAAGGAAGGAAGGAAGGAAGGAAGGAAGACCTTCCTAAGGTCAAAGGGAATGGAATGAACTCTTCCAGTCTTATAGGAAGCAGGTGGGTGGCCAAAGGCCACCTCCCCTGCCCTCTTCCATGGACCCTGGAGGCAGACACTTCTGACCCAGGGGCCTCTCTTTACATCGGGGGTGGGGGGGTGAGGGGGTGGGGGAGAACAGAGTCCCCCTGCCAGGGACAGGCCCTTCTCAGCTCGACTCTGGAATCCTTGTCGGGCGGGCACAGAAAGCCCTGTTGGCACTTCACACCGTCCTGTTCCACACTTGGACACTTTGCATACAATTTTGCAGTACTTGCAAAGACCAATTACATAAGTCTCGGTCCAATAAATATTGTCCAGTGTTTGTCTCATCCCGTTCGTCTGGATCCTAGATATTCCCCCCTATTCCCTTGGGGTGGCATTGTTCACGGTTCCCAGGGCCCTGCTCTGGCCTTACACCTCAGGCCTGTGGTATATACACACATGGCTGTGTATACCTATAGATTCCTGAAAACCCCAGCCTTCCGCCTTCTAATGTGGCCTCGCCAGATTTCCTTCCATGGGTGTCCCCACAGCAGGATGTCTTATCTCGGGTTGTTTCCCCTCCCCCGAGGGGTGAGACCCAGGATGCTGCTAGTATCTCAAAACCCAGCACCGGCACCTGGGTGGCTCAGCCCTTGAGCCACCTTGAGCATCTGCCTTTGGCTCAGGTCGTGATCTCCGGGGTCCTGGGGTCAAGTCCCACATCAGGCTCCCTGCAGGGAGGCTCTGCCTGCGTCTCTGCCTCTCTGTGTCTCTCTTTTAAAAAGATTTTAAAATCTTTAAAATCTTTAAAAACAAAACAAAAAACCAGCATAACAGCTCCCAAGTATCTCCTAGGTGAGGCAGAGGCAATGTTTTATCTCAAAGTATTAAACTGGGTTTTCTAGAGTCAGTAGAGCATGCTACTCTTGATCTCAAGTTTGTGAGTTCAAGCTCCATGTTAGATGTGGAGATTACTTTAAAAAAAAAATTAAGGGCTTCTGGGTGGCTCAGTCAGTTGGGCATCTGCCTTTGGCTCAGGTCATGATCTCAGGACCCTGGGATCTAGTCCCTCACTGGGCTTTCTGCTTAGCAGGGAGTCGCTTCTCCTTCTCCCTCTGCCTGCTGCTCTGCCTACTTGTGCTCTCTCTCTCTGTGTCAAATAAATAAATAAAATCTTTAAAAGATACATTTAAAAAATTAAAAAACAAAAGGGTCACCTGGCTGATTCAGTCAGTAGAGCATGCAACACTCGATCTCAGGGTCATGAATTGAAGCCCTACATTGGGTGTAGAGCCTACTTAGTTAAAATAAATGAATAAATAATTTTAATTAAAAAATTTAAAACCATAAACTGGGTTTTCTGTGTACCTTCCTTTTCCTCTGGGACATTTCTGGGATTCTCAATTCCATTTCCTCCCAGCCCAACCCATACCAAAGCAGAAACCAAGCCACAGGTAATCAGCCACCTGCTTTAAGTGGACATCCAGGGTGTGATGCAAGTCTATGTTCTCTACCCCTAAAAACCAGACTAGAGCGTCCTGGGCAAGAAGAGGGGAAGAGGCACCCTGACTTCAGAGGAAGGTGTAGAGGGACTAGAATTCTCGAAGGTGAGTGGCTGGGGAGAGGACACCTGTAGGAATGAAGGGCTGAGGCCAGAAGACCAGAGATGGGGCGGGCAGTCAAGAACTGTGGTCCAAGGGGGATCCCTGGGTGGTGCAGCGGTTTGGCGCCTGCCTTTGGCCCAGGGCGCGATCCTGGAGACCCAGGATCGAATCCCACGTCGGGCTCCCGGTGCATGGAGCCTGCTTCTCCCTCTGCCTGTGTCTCTGCCCCTTCTCTCTCTCTCTCTCTCTCTCTCTGTGACTATTATAAATAAATAAAAATTAAAAAAAAACCCTTAAAAAAAAAAAAGAACTGTGGTCCAAGGAATGCAGTGGGGGGTCCTCCGGGGCAGGGTCTGTGAAAGACAACACTAGGAAGGGGCCCTCTGTCACCCAGGGCTGGCTTATACCTCTGTCCTTCTTCCCTGATTCCCACCTGCCCAGCCCATCCCTGGAAGATCAGAAACAGCCACCAGCAAAGATGAGAAGATGAGAAGAGGAGGTAAGAGGAAAGAAGCCGAACGTGCTTGAGAGGGTGGCAAGGGGAGAAACTACGTTGGATAAGTCGCATGTTGGACTACTCTATAGACGATACCAGTAAAACCAGTTTGATGGAGGATCTCAACTGTCTAACTATCAGAATGAAATGGTTTTAGTTTCTGAATAATTGCTCCTGACTGTTTTTCTGCCAAGTGGCAAGGTCCCTTGGAAATATCTAAGTTTATTACCCAGCTTGCAATTATCTGATTGGAATGGACTTCTTCTAAACAAAAAGACTACTTATTTATTATCTAGGAGTTGCAATGGAACCAGCCTGAAACTCTGTCCACGGGTAGGGAAAGAATGAGTCCAGGGTTTGTGTTTAAAGTGACATCTCACTCTGATGAGTTTGTTCAACAAACTGGTTGAAGTTACCAAATGAGTAAGGATATTTTTCCATTTATTTGTATTTCTTCCTGCAGAAATTATGGCTCCCCATTATTCGCCCATTTTTTTCTATTAAGGATTGAATGATTTTCTTATTAGCTTGCCTGAGCATTTTATATATGAAGGATATTAAATCTTTATCATATTAGTGGCAAATATCTTTTCCTGGTTTATCCTTTGCCTTTTAATTAATGAGTTTTGATGTTTATAAACTATTTATGACTACACATTTGATCTTTTACTATTATGACTTTAAATATTTTAATTTATTTGACAGAAAGAGAGAGTAAAAGGGGGGAGCAGCAGAGGGAGAGGGAGAAGCGGGCTCCCCGCTGAGCAGGGAGCCCCATGCAGGGCTCAATCCTAGGACCCCAGGATCATGACCTGAGCCAAAGGCACATGCTCAACCACTGAGCCTGTGCCATGTGTGCTACCTGCGTTCTGCTCCATGTTTTCGTGGATGCCATCCAAGAGCTCCTGCGCATCTTCCACATTCTCCTCTTCTTCCTCTTCACCTTCCTCTTCTTCTTCCCCTTCATCCTTAGGTGTGACAATCGCCTCCTACATACCACAGGGATATTTAAATTGGATGATGCCCTCCATGGATCTGCTACTCGCAAACTACCTAGCCAGTGATCCTAAAAAGGCTGGTGCCTGAATAGGGAATATGCTCATCCAGTCATTGTGCAAGTTGTCAGGATGCGTGTAACTACAAAGATGGATGAGAGCCTCGAGGTTTTTCTTACTCTATTTTAGAAGAATCCATTTCTGTTTTTTTTTTTTCCATTTCTGTTTTAACACCAGGACTGCTTAAGAATCAACACTTTTCTAGTTGGCAGGTTTTATCTTACTTGAAGAAAACACATTTTGTAGAAATTAAGACTATCAGTAACCATTGAAGGAAATATATCAGAGTAGCTACCGTTTCCAATAAAATTATAAAAAGCAGTTAGTTGATGGGGAGGGGGATAAATAGGCAGAGCACAGAGGATTTTTAGGGCAGTGAAACTAGTCTGTATGATACTATAATGGTAAATACATTTGTCCAAACCCATAGGAATGTATAACACCAATAAAAAAAAACCCTAAAGTAGGGATCCCTGGGTGGCGCAGTGGTTTGGCGCCTGCCTTTGGCCCAGGGCGCGATCCTGGAGACCCAGGATCAAGTCCCACGTCGGGCTCCCGGTGCATGGAGCCTGCTTGTCCCTCTGCCTGTGTCTCTGCCTCTCTCTCTCTCTCTCTCTCTGTGTGTGTGTGACTATCATAAATAAAAAAAATAAAAAAAATAAAAAAAAAAAACCCTAAAGTAAACAATGGGCTTGGATGATAACCAAGTGTCAGTCAGTGTAGATCTATCAGTTGTAACTAATGTAACCACTCTGGTGGAGAGGTTGATAATACAAAAGGTTATGCATGCAAACGGCAGGGGGTATATGGAAAATCCCCGTACCTACCTCTCAGTCTTGCTCTGAACGGAAAGCTTCTCTAAGAAAATAGTCTCTCTCTTTCTCTTTTTTAAGAGAAAGTGTGCATGTGCATGCAATGGGCAGGGGATGGGCCAGAGCAAGTCAGCGAGTGGGAGAGAGAGAAAGAAAGAGAGAAACTTAAGCAGGCTCCACATCCACACAGAGCCCAACTTGAGGCTCAATCTCATGACCCCCGAGATCATGACCTGAGCCAAAATTAACAATTGGAAGCTTAATTCCCTAACCCATGCAGGTGTGCCCCAATAGTTTCCTTTTTTAAAAAGTAGTTAATAAATAGTCTGATAATATTCTGAGAAATGTACATCAAGAATTAAAAAAAAAAAAACTAAAAATTGGGGTGCCTGGGTGGGGCAGTCGGTTAAGCATCCTACTCTTGATCTCAGCTCAGGTGTTGATCCAGGGATTCAGACCCCAAGTTGAACTCCACTCGGGGTGTGGAGCCTACTTAAAAAAAAAAAAAAAAAAAAAAAAACCTAACTAAAAATGTGCAGTCAACAGAGAGAATATTTTTTAGCAACAGCTGGAGACAGACTAAATTTCAAGGGCACCCCATGAAAGATGCTTCCATCTCCCAGAGGAAAGTCCTGTAGGATGCTCTCTTTTCATAACTGGGGCCAAGAACAAAATCCAATTAAAATAACAAATCTCTTTGCAGGATGCCACCTAAAATTAGTGGCTTCCTTATTACAAGACCAAGGAGAGTATTTTTAAGATACAAAAATTCCCAGTGAAGTAGTTAGGAACGTTACCAGTTTTGCTATGGCTTCGGAAATAACATCCTTCAATTTAATGTGATGCAGCTTGTAGTGCTTTGACAAGGCTTCAGCAATACTGGATTTTCCCACAGCAGGAGGACCAAGAATGCAAATCTTGATCGGCTGCAGAAGGAGCACAGGACCATACAGTGAGTCATGAACAATCTGTGGCTCGATAGAGTGTTTTTTATTTCAGGGGAAGGGGTGTCTTTTCTGAATGTCTCTGGATCCTGTGGGCTAATGTTCCTCTGTCAAGTCTCCAGAGTCATTCTTCCACTGCCAGCCTCTGTGGTCACTGGCACATTGTCCCAACAGCGCTGCTCTCCCATCATCAGGGAGTGGCTATTCATGTCCATTTGTTCAGCAGGTACTTAGTGAGCACCTACTATGTGCACTGACCAACCATGGGGGACACAACACTCAACAAGATGTGCTTAGGAACAGCCCAAAAGTACTAAAAAACAAAGTACTCAAGTGTAGGGACACCTGGGTGGCTCAGGGGTTGAGCATCTGCCTTCGGCTCAGGGTGTGATCCTGGGGTCCAGGGATCGAGTCCTGCATCAATCTCCCTGCAGGGAGCCTGCTTCTCCCTCTGCCTGTGTCTCTGCCTCTCTCTCTATGTCTTTCATGAATAAATAAATATACTCTTAAAAAAAATGTACTCAAGTGCTATATACTACCATATTAGTCTTTTTTAAAAATGTTTAATTTAAAATTCAATTTAATTAACATACAGAGGTTAACATTTCAGAGGTAGAGGTCAGTTATCCATCAGTCTTATATAACACCCAGTGTTCATTCCATCACGTGCCCTCCTTAATGCTCATCACTCAGTAACCCCATCTCCCCACCCCCATCCCCTCCAGCAACCCTCAGTTTGTTTCCTAGAGTTAAGAGTCTCTTATGGTTTGTCTCCCTCTCTGATGTCATCTTATTTTATTTTTCCTTTCCTCCTCTGTTCATCTGTTTTGTTTCTTAAATTCCACATATGAGTCATATTACTCTTATAAAGACAACAAAGACATAGAATTTCTGGTCCAGTGTGTGACGGCTTAGATTATTGCCTCATGAATCTTGTTTCTGGACTAACTGGATCTTTAATCATACTTTACTATTTAGCAGTTATTTTTTTTCTAGTTTTAAAAAGATATACTCATTAAAATAAAACAAAACAAAAAAAACGTCCCACCATTTCTTCTGCTGAAACTTGTTTGAATGTTCCAGAAGCTCTGTGACATTCATAACCAGGGAGTAAATGTATAATACTGAATTTAAAAAATTGGTAGTGGTCATTTTTTTCAATGTGGTTCCAATAGTTGAACTGAGGCCTCGTACTTTGTAAGGGAAATTAATAACAAAAATCAGGCTGATGGGAAGAATTCCCATTGGCAGAGTGTCCATGCGCTTAAGAGTTATCTAATTTGAGCCACAAAGTTGGTTGTAGTTATTATGACCACCACTTGACAGATGAAGAGACCAAGGCTGTGAAGGAAATAAGCAGGCACACTGCAGGTGGTGCTGGATGACAATGGTGAACATGACTGATCTTAACCGGTGAGGGACACTTCCGGGGTGATGATGATGACCAAGATGGCGAGCAGGGGAGGGCAGGTGTCTGAGAAAGCAGCTCAAACTACTTGAGTCCCAATAGGCAGGGCTGTGCTCCTTGGTGGACCTGGTGCGTTCACCACAGCCTGAGGTCCCCTGTCTACTGACCATGTTCACTAGCACCATTTTGTCTACACACCGATGGCAGATCTGTCTCCTGGGATGGGCGCACCAGCCAGGTAAAAAAAACAGAATGACAGTGGATCCACTTAATAGTGAGAAGTATTGGGGCACCTGGGTGGCTCAATTGCTTAAGCATTTGCATTTGGCTCAGGTCATGATCGCAGGGTCCTGGGATCGAGCTCCACATGGGGCTGGCTCCTGCTCAGTGGGGAATCTGCTTCTCCCTCTGCCCTTCTCCCTTGCTCATGCTTTCTTTCTCTCTCTCTCTTTCTTTCTCTCAAATAAATAAATAAAATCTTAAAAAAATAGAAGTATGACTCCCACTGAACTCAGAACCCCAAGTGCACTTGTCTGGTACATATGATCCCTCGGAGAAAACAGGCATGGAGGGTTGTTGATGAGCATCATGTGGAACATGAAGAGTTAGATGAACAGGCTACTTAATGGCATCCAGTCACATTAGCTTGATGCATCAGTCTTCAGCAGGGACCACCTTGCCTTGCTAAAGGGCCGGGAATTGCGGAAGCCCTTGGCTTAAGGCTCCATGTTTTGGGATGTCACTGGTATGGCACTGTCTACCTTACCCTCTATAGTTTCCTGTCCTATGCTTTTACATGACCAATGCCCCCAGGGATGGATAGACTGTCCAATTATCAGAGATGCTTGGAGCATGAGGGTGGCTCAGTTGGTTGTGTCTGCCTTCAGCTCAGGTCATGGTCCCAGGCTCCTGGGATCTAGCCTGGCATGAGGCTCCCTGCTTGGCAGGGAGTCTCCCTCGCCCTCTGCCCCTCCCTCTCCACCCCCCTCTTATGGTATCTCTCTCTCTCTCTCTCTCTCTCTCTCTCTCTCTCCACTCTTTCTCTCTGTCTCAAATAAATAAAGAAAATCTTTAAAAAAATTTGTTTAGATGTGCTTATTCCCTCTATCATGGTCTACCCAGTCTTGTTAATTGGGAACCATGAGATCTCTTTAAGGCGTCTTGTTCATATACTTTAACTGTGTTGATTTACATTTGACCCACAGAAGACAACACTAGTTTCACCATTTGAGTTGGGTCTTGTGCGTCTCAGGATAGGCTCCAGGTACAGCCACCGTGGGTATCTCAGATGCTTAAAGAAATCATTGTTCTTTTGCTGAGAGGCACATCTTCTACTTACTCTTAACGAGGCATGTTTTTCAGGAGAATATGGTTCTTAGGACACAACGGTGATACTGTTCATGCTCATATGGAGCCTCCCATGTGCAGTGGTAGCTATGGTTAGGATGGCACCTGTTCCTCATAAGGTCTCCCCTAGTTTTCAACACATGTTCTCATGTACAAACCACTCTTATCTTTGGGATACTTCCCTGGGATAAATCATGGTCCTGGGCAAGGGCTACATATACCTGATTTCAGGTAGGGAGGTGTGAAGACGCTGCAGTTAGGCTCTTCTAGCTAAGTTTGCATGGCAGCTAGTTTGAATCTCTGATTAGCTGTGGGACCTTGAAGAAATTGCTCAGTCTCTCTGAGCCTCAGTTTTGTCATCTATAATGTGGAGATAAGCACATCTACTTTGAAGAGTTTGATGTTTTAAAAAAAAAAAGATTTTAGTTATTCATGAGAGACATGGAGAGAGAGGCAGAGACATAGGCAGAGGGAGAAGCAGGCTCCCTGCGGGGACCCCGATGTGGGACTCGATCCCGGGACCCATAGGTAACCCAGGCTGAAACAGACAGGCCAGGAGGCACCTGCTATTTTTCTGTAGTCAGCCTTGAGCTTACGATTGTGTTCAATTTGTGTCAAGCATAACAGTAATTATCTGTGTTACCTTTAAAATGTTTAATATTTGACTGACAGAATCAATATAATATACTTACAGATGGTTAGACAGGGACAAGTGGGTCATATTTTAAAAAGAACTTGATTTTAGAAAATTGGCACATTTGAAAAAGAAAATATTTTCATTGGTGTGATTATACTAAAAGTTTCATCCACATTGCTTAAGTCAGAATTCAAAACAAGAAACGAAATCGTTAAGTTGAATTGAAACAGGAAATCGTCATAGTTACCAATAATCTTCTGCTTTGCTTGTACTCTTTGAGGATATTGTTGATATTTTCCACAAATCCTGTTTGGGCAACCCAACGAATGTTAAAATTCTCCTTCACAAAAAGTGCTTCCATCCTCAAGTTGACCAGTAAATGGTCAAGGCATTCTTGCTAAGAGATAAAGGAATATTAGAGATTGGAGAATCATCTTGAGATTTTCTTTCATCTTAAAGGTTATAACAGACCCAAATCGCTGCTATTAAAGAAAAATATATACATTCACAAAACATGGAAGCCAGTCAATGGTGGCACCCACAATGGTGTTGACCAAGCACCCCCTGTGGGCATCTGTGACACTTCCAAACTCACCCCACGTCTGCGTCAGGATGGGCAGCATCTTGGCTCTCAGACAAGCAGCTCAAAAGAGCTAGAAGATGCTGGAAGCCCCACTGTAAGGCTTCTTCTTCTTCTTCTTCTTTTTTTTAAAAACAAATTGTAATTGTATCTATTCTTTGAATAGTGCAATCTCATGGCTCAAAATCCAAAAGAAAAAAATATAAAGGAAAGCATTCTCTGTGACCCCCATCACCACCCACCCAGCTCTGCTCCCCGGAGGCAACCAGTGATACTAGCCCTTTCAGAAGCATTCTCAAAGGTAGTGTTTTGATGCAATTTCTAGAAAGAAAAAAAAAATTATGTCCTAAAGCAAGTTCAAAGGGCACACCGCTGACAAAAGCTGCGTAGGTTTCTGTTGTAACGGGATCAGAAATCCCAGGTTCCTGTGTGAATTATACCAAGAGGCCAAAGAGAAGGACATCCAGTGTCTGTCTGTAAAGCATTTACGTATCAAACAGTTTTCGAATACATCTTCTGACCAGGACCTCTGCGGGTTTTTCAGAAAAGAAACAAGCTCTCAGAAGAGAAGGGGAAATTGCTTTGGGGGAAAATGTTTAGCTGTGCAGGAGGAGCAAAGATGAACCTGGAAGCCAGATATTCTGACTCCAAATCTCTCAAGAACCAATACATTAGGGAAAAGAATCTCTTATCTACTTACCGTTAAGTCCTTGGTTAGGAAAGCATTTTCTTTGGGTATTTTCTGGATTTTCCCAGGGCCAGTGTTTTTACTGATGCACTGTTGGAGAAAAAAATAGAAATACTATAGTTTGCCTGTAAGATTTTAATACACAGTTTCTCGAATGAATGACAATATAAGTAAATAATCTTTTTTTTTTCTTTTCTTTTTTCTTTTGGCTGAACAGAGGAGGAATACCCTGAGGGTATATATTGATTCATTTCTTTTGCAAATATTCAAGTTCACCACCACGAATCAGGGAGGGACTGGAAACAGAGATGAGTCAGGGGCGATCCCTGCCCTCAAGGGACTCTCAGTCTGAAAGGGAGGGAGTCAGCCTGAGTATGCAGATGATTATGCTGGATCCCTCTGCAGTTTGCAGAGGGGACCCTGGGAAAAGAGGCGCCTGGCCTGTGCAGGACGTGGGAAGGAGGCAGGGAGGTTTTCTGAGGATGAAATCTGAGCTGAATGTTAAAGATGAGTAGGGGGCAGTCAGGGCAAGGCCACACTTGATGGATCAGCAGGGCTACAAGATAACAAGTGGCCTGTATTGGAGAGACAGCTCCCACAGACCTAGAGGCCCTGGAATCTGCCAGTAGGTTTGGGGAACCTGACCGTATCAGGATTTTGGAGCAAGTGTCCAGTACACATTGTAGTAACCCTTCCATGTGATTCGTGTGTGTCTTGGTCCCACAGTGGTCTCTCCTGTTCCCTTCCAGGCACAGACTGCAGAAAGGCCATCTTGATTGTAAATATCCCAACACATACACTGCAAATGCAGCCAGTGACTTTGGTTTTAAGAATATTCCATTTGGGGAGTCCCCAGTCTTGATAGCACACCCAATCCCAGAGCAATATTTTAGAGACAAACACATTTAAGAAAAGCCATCAAATATGGGATGGAATGGCAGTACCTTGACCAAGTCTTCCAGGGTATGAACAGACTCGTCCACGGCAACCAGGTAATGAAGCTTTGGCACGTGGTCTATTATGTTTTGTATCACTCTGCAGCCCACCAGGAAAAACCATCACCGAGGGAAAAAGCAAAAGGGACGGAGTCAAGTACAATCCACTGATCACCACTGCCAGGGGCCAGACAGCATCTCACTTCATTTCCAACAAAGTTAGGGTTGGGACAATGATCTCTGCTGATGGAGAAGCTGGGAAAGTTCAAGCCCCCATGTTGGCTGTAGAGATAAACTTAAGTAAATAAATAATTTTTTTTAAAGCAACCTATTAGAAAAAATCCGACCGAAAGGAGCTTGGGTCCCTCTGTAATAGGAACAATTGAACTCTGATTTTTTAAAAGTTTTATTTATGTAAGTAATCTCTACTCAACGTGGGGCTCAAACTCACACCCCAAGATCAAGAGTCACATGCTCTTCCAATGAGCCAGCCAGGTACCCCTGAACTCTGATTTATCTCTTTGGAAGAAAGATGTTAAGAAATAATGCTAAGTATTTTGTTTTACTCATGTAAAAGATTCTTTTACATCTTTAAAACCTGAAAAGGTAATGCAAAATCTCTGCGCGAAAAAAGGGTACATTTCAGTTCCTCCATGTCCAGTGTTAAATGCTGGCTGGAGTTTGAAGCTTATATTATTTAGAGGACCCTTCTTTAAGAAAAATCATAAAAATTAAATTTGGGGCCTTGGAAGAGACTTATGCAGGGGTGGGTCTTGAACTTAAACTTCATTATTTCCCAGCAAATTTGTAAACCCACCTGGGGATGACTACTTACTAGGCACCAGTGGAATCTAGAAGCCAGAATCTCAGGGAAGTGCCAAAACTGCTCACTCCTTGCAGGGGAGTCATGGGGGTGTTAGAATAAAGTCCCTGGAACCTGAAGTGTGGAACTGACAAACCACAAATATAGCAAACCCTCTCTTTGACACAGTGTCCAAGTCAAGGTCTACAAGGAAGGAGGGTCTTCAGATCTACCTGGAGCCTTTTGCTGGGATACTCTGAGTGTAAAAAAATAGGAGTTCAAGTTCACCCACAGTTGCCAAACAAACAAAAAACCGCTTCGGTTTAGATAGAGGTCACTGTCTGATTTCTGGAATTTAAGTCAGTAGGCTGGATATACCAAGCTTACCCAGGACAAAGGTCCCCAGAATGCATGTAACAAATTCTTTCTTTTCCAAAATTGGAAGACATACTATTCTGCTGATAAACTTTCTAAAAGATGAACTTGAACTTGTCATCCGAAGCATGGTACTTTTGGATGGTGGATACTATTCCACCAGCTGCAAAACAGAGATAATAACCAGACATTGTGCGTGGGGTTGTCATGAAGAACAAATAGTGACACACGTAAGGGTCTTGGAGCTTGGTAGGTGCTAAGTGTTCACTTAAACACAAACATATCAGTCAATTACTTTCCGGGAAGTCCTAGCTCTAGGAAAACACTTACCCTGCTAGATCAAGAACATGAATTGCTGGAATTACATTTGTTCCATCTCCAAACACTGGTAATGCAGGGACCTCACCCAACCAAGCTATCTGAAAGAAAAGCAAAAGCATATTTTTCTCTGGTTGTATGTTAATTATATATTAATTGTCTATTACACCTTACACACAGCTATAGTCAGGGGCGTTCAAAAGACCCAGCTGTCTGTGAAGTCATCGCCTAAAGGAGATTTTTGAGAATCAGTTCTGATGAGATTACGTTGCTGATCAAATTCCATTAAGAGTTGAGGAAGTTAAAAAAAAAAGAGTTGAGGAAGGGGAGGTGGGTTGGGGGATGGGGTAACTGGGTGACGGGCACTTGATGGGATGAGCACTGGGTGTTATACTATATGTTGGCAAATTGAATTTAAATAAAAAAAAAACAAATCCTATTAAGAGAAATAGTGTAACCTCAGGACTGAAATACTTTTCAAGAAATCTACAATCTCATTGCTGATCTCCAGTTGTCATCTGAATGGTGTCTACAGAGAAATGAAATGCTTAAAAAAAAAAGAAAGAAATGAAATGCTTTCAAATGCATGACATGTTCCATTATTACAAAAAAAAATTAGATTGATAGTCTAAAATTACTCCATGGGTCAGGGGGTAATTATTATCAGTTCATAGATGAAATGATTAGTAGATAAAGGCAAGAGGTTGTACAGATAATGATTTGCTGAGCTTGGATTTGAACCCTGATCTTCAGAGTCCAAATCCTTGTCTTTTCCCTGCATTTACGTATTTCAGTAAAGAAACAGTCTGTATACTGTTAGCTGTCAGGTACTAGATGATTTTAAATTGCTTTTCAAGAGTGAAAGAGGTAGGAGTGGGGGCCATAGCAGATGAATATTGTAAGATATTTTGGATTTTGGGAAACCATTTAAGGGGTTTTTATTAACTTAAATTCAATTAATTGGGATTCCTGGGTGGCTCAGTGGTTGAGCGTCTCCATTCCGCTCAGGTCGTGATCCCAGGTCCGGGGATTGGGTCCTGTATCCGGCTCCCCGTGAGAAACCTGCTTCTCCCTCTGTCTCTGCTTCTCTCTGCGTGTCTCTCATGAATAAATAAATAAAATCTTAAAAAATAATAAATACAACCAATTAATTAACATTTAATGTATTATTGGTTTCAGAGGTAGAGGTCAGTGATTTATCAGTTGTGTATAACAACACTCAGTGCTCATCACATCATGTGCCCTCCTTAATGCCCATCACCCAGTTACTCCATCCCCCAACCCCCCTCCCCTCCAGTGACCCTCAGTTTGTGTAAGAGTCTGTGATTAAGAGTCTCTTATAGTTTTGTCTCCTTCTCTGATTTTATCTTGTCTTATTTTTTCCTCTCTTCCCCTACGATCTTCTGTTGTGTTTCTTAAATTCCACATATGAGTGAAATCATATAATAGTCTTTCTCTGATTGACATTTCACTTACCTTAATACCCTCTATTTCCACACATGTCATTGCAAACGGCAAGATTTCAAATTTTTTGATGGCAAAGTATTATTCCATGGTATACATACAGCACATCTTTATCCATTCATCTGTCAATGGACATTTGGGCTCTTCCCATAGTGTGACTATGTGGACATTGCTGCCAATAACACCAGGGTGTACGTTCCCCTTCAGATCATTACATTTGTATCTTTGGCGTAAATGCCCAGTAATACAATTGTTAGGTCATAAGGTAGCTCTACTTTCAACTTTTTGAGGAACCTCCACACTGTTTTCCAGAGTGGTTGCACCAGCTTGCATACCTACCAATAGCATATGAGGGTTCCCCTTTTTCTGCACCAATATCTGTCATTTCTTGACTTGTTAATTTTAGCCATACTGACCAGTGTGAGGTGGTATCCCATTGTGGTTTTGACTTGTATTTGCCTGACGCTGACAAGCATTTTTTCATGTGTCTATTGGCCATTTGTATCTCATCTTTGGAGAAATGTCTGTTCCTGTCTTCTGCTCATTTCTTGGTTGGATAATTTGTTCTTTGGGTGTTGAGTTTGATCAGTTCTTTATAGATTTTGGATATTAATCCTTTATCTGATATGTCATTTGCAAAGATCTTCTCCAATTCTGTTGGTTGTCCTTTGGTTTTGTCAACGGTTTTCCCTTGTTATACAAAAGCTTTTTATCTTGATGAAGTCCCAATAGTTCATTTTTGCCTTTGTTTCACTTGCCTTTGGGGACATGTCTAAATAAGAAGTTGTTGCGGGGTTGCTGCCTGTGTTCTCCTCTAGGATTTTGATGGACTTCTATCTCACATTTAGGTGTTTCAACCATTTTGAGTTTATTTCTGTGAATGGTGTGAGGAAACGGTCCAGTTTCATTCTTCTGCTTATGGCTGCCTGACTCCCAACACAATTTGTTGAAGAGATTGTCTTTTTTCCGTTGGATATTCCTTCCTGCTTTGTTGAAGATCAGTTAACCATTTAGTGGTGGGTCCATTTCTGGGTTTTCTATTCTGTTCTATTGGATTATAGGTTTGTTTTTGTCCAGTACCATACTGTCTTGATGATTACAGCTCTGTAATAGAACTTAAGTCCAGAATCGTGATGCCACCAGTTTTGGTTTTCTTTTTCAACATTCCTTTGGCTATTTGGGATCTTTTGGGGTTCCATATAAACTTTAGGATTATTTGTTCCAGCTCTGTGAAATAAGTTGATGGCATTTTGATAGGGCATTGAAGGGTTCTAAGCAGTGAAGTGACATCATTAGATTTGCTTTTGTTGCCTCGTGAAGGAATGATGGGAAGTAAGAATCCAAATGGGCAGCTGGAGGCCAGGATACTTGTGTGGACAAGAGTTGTCTGCCCTACCTAGCCTGTGGGTGGAGGGTTGGGGGAGTGGGGTTGGAGAGGAGGAGATACTGAGGAGGTTGGCTGTATAGTTCTGGGGGATTTTGTGTTGGATGAGAAAGAAGGAGGAGTTGGATTCTGGTTGGTGCAGCTGGGTGGAAGAAGGTCCCACTTTCTGAGATGGGGTCCTGGAGCAGGTTTGGGGATGACTGTAGGTAGAGTTTGGGCTTATGGAACATCCAAAGTGAGGCACTAAATAGATAGCTAGATTCACAGAGCTCGGATTCAGGAGAGAGCCCTGCTGTAGAAACTGATGTTTGAGAGTCATTGTACAGTCATGGATGGACAGACCAACCCAGGAAAGAGCGTAGACAGAGAAGACAAGAGAGAGGTGTCTGTGTGGTGAAGTCAGTTGAGTGTCCAGCTCTTAGTTTCAGCTCAGGTGGTGATCTTAGGATTGTGAGATCGAGCCCTGCATCCAGCTCTCCTCTTGGCAGGGAATCTGCTTCAGATTCTCTCTCTTCTTCTGTCTCTCCTACTTGTGCTCTCTCTCTCTCTCTCTCAAATACATAAATACATCTTAGGAAAAAAAAAAGAGGATCTCAGGCAGGAACCTGAGAAAGCCAACATTCAGTGGTCAGGTAGGTGAGGAGCAGCTGAGAATGGTTAAGGACAAATTGACTTCATCACCTACCTGTAATTTGGCCACACTCATCTATTTGCTGTTCCTTAACACAACCCACACATTTCTGCCTCAGGTCTTTGCACTTATAGTTCCTACCGCCTTTCCTCTAGAAAGCAAAGTAGCCAGCTCCCTTGTAACTTTCTGCTCAAATGTCATATCATGGGAAAGGCCTTCCCTGACCATCATAATCAAGATACAACTTGAGAGCCTACCACTGGCTCTGTTTCTATCTTTCTCTGTTTTGTTGCTTTCCATCTTATTTTTCAACATCTGAAATATTCTATGTGTGCGGGTTAATGGGGTTCTTATCTCTGGCTCTCCTCCTCTACGCCACTGGAATGCAACCTTACAAATGTGAGGACTTTATTATTATGGTATCCGATTCCCAGAATCTACAATGTTTTCTGGCACACGATGGGCATCAATGTCTGTCTCATGAATGAAAGGAAATCCAACTTTCTCCTTATTATCCAGAAAGCGGTATATACAGGTTGCTAATAATTAGAAAAATAGAAAAAGAAAAAAAATCTTCAAATTGTATAACCTTACTCTAAGACATTTTAAAAATCCTCATAGTCACTGAAAAGCCATACCTTAAAAAAATAATGTAAGATGCCTTCTTCCACTCCATATTGAAGTCCAGCAGCAACCACATAAGTCGTGAGTTTTTTGGCCTATTAGACAAAGTAGAGGAAAAAAGCTAAATATAATATTATTACTCATACTGAACCAGACTATTTAGTGGTTAAAATGAATGAATGCCTCTGACCACTACCGAAATTTATTTGGGACTTTTAATTAAATGAAAGCCAGAGATAATAATTTGTGAAGACTTAACACCTGCGTGCTCTACACTAGTGTCTATGAGATATAAAAATTAGTCTTTTCACGATGACGTTTACTTACCCAGTAGGGGAGGCAGACGTACATAGGGAGTTTTTAGTAATGGGCCTCAATACAAGGTGTGATATTGTGATTCATAATAAGAAATATATATTTGGTCTTCATCTCCATATCTGGCACTGAGATCCTAAAACCATGGCAATTTCCAAGCAAATGGAGTGATAACGGTGCCTTTTATGTTAACCAGGTGATTTTTGGATCCAGCCTGAAGATGTGGGTTAATTGCCAGTTTCCAGTTCCCTCCACTATCTCCAGGGAGCGATGGGGTTGGGGGGCGGTGGTGGAGATCGAGTTCAACCACCAACAGCCAATGATTTATTTAAACATGATGAAGCCTCCATAAAAACCCAAAAGGAGAAGGTGTGGAGAGCTTCTGGGTTGGTGAACATGTGGAGGTTTGGGGACAGCAGAGAAGCTCCATGCCTTTCTCCAATCCTTGCCCTGTGCATTGCTTCCATCTGGCTATTGATGAGCTATATTCTTTTATAACACACTGGTAATCTAATAAGTAAAATGTTTCTCTGAATTCTGTGAGTCACTCTTAGCAAACTAATTAAACCTCAGGCTCAGGGAGGTGGGAGGGGTCATTGGAACCTTCAATCTATAAGGGTTGGTCAGAAGCCACAGGTGATGGCCTGAGCTTGCAACTGATGAAGGATAGAAGCAAAAAAATGTCCACCTTTAGCCCAAGAGGCTGTCCTAGCCTGCATAGTTTTGGTAAAGATCAAATACGATCTGGTTGCTACATTCTTTTTTTTTTTTTTTTTTTTTTTTTAAGTAGGCTCCATGTTCAACATGGAGCTCAAGGTGGGGCTTGTATTTACAATCCTGAGATCAAGGCCTGACATGAGAGCTTATTCAATTGAGCCACCCAGATGCTCCCTGGTTGCTACATTTTTTTTAAAGATTTTATTTATTTATTCATAGAGATGCAGAGAGAGAGATAGAGAGAGAGAGAGAGAGAGGCAGAAACATAGGCAGAGGGAGAAGCAGGTTCCATGCAGAGAGCCTGACGTGGGACTCGATCCAGGGTCTCCAGATTACGCCCTGGGCTGCAGGCGGCGCTAAACCGCTGCGCCACTGGGACTGCCCGGTTGCTACATTTTTAAAGGGTCTCATGACTGCTCATATATTTCACTAATGGTTAATATTGAACTGTATGAAAAACACCAGAGAAATCTTGCAAAAGTAGTTTTACAATTAGAAAATCAAAGAAACATTTATGATCTCATACCCTCTGCACATTCCCTTCCTCTTGAACACGAAGTGTATAACTACCAGCTTCATACAGCAAAAAAGCAGCCCTTTCTTCCCATAAGTCCTGTCTTCATGCTACTTAAAAAAAAACTTACTAAGTTATATCATACAATGTCTCAAGAATTCTTTCTTGACTGTTGTGCTCAGCAACCCCACACGTGTCTGAAGCAGGGGACAGTCTTGTAGGACTGAGTCCTAAACCCATGGGATTTAATGGGTTAAATCTTCTAAGAAAATAGCGTCAGAATTGACTTGAAATGTAGGACACCGGGCAGGTGCCCAAGAATTGCTTGGTGTTATGGGAAACCCCTCCCAGAATAGACGCGCACACATGATGGAATTGGGTCCAAAGCCTTTATCAGGAATGTGAGTCTCTCTTCTGCTCCAGGTAATCCATGGTGGATTAAAAAAAAAAAAATCCAAAACCTAGTGTAAATACTTAGAAATGCCAAATAAAACATCATTAATGTCCTTCTACGATGGCACAATTCTCAAGGGCATAAGAGCTATCCTTAGGGGCCAGAAACAGAAGTGAAAACAATAGTGGTGAGAGTGGACAGTGTGGGCACCCTGGGAGGTTGAGGGTCTCAATCTAGGAGTATGCATTTTATTTTATTTTATTTTATTTTATTTTATTTTATTTTATTTTTTTTTAGGAGTATGCATTTTAGGGATCCCTGGGTGGTGCAGCGGTTTGGCGCCTGCCTTTGGCCCAGGGCGCGATCCTGGAGACCCGGGATCGAATCCCACGTCGGGCTCCCGGTGCATGGAGCCTGCTTCTCCCTCTGCCTATGTCTCTGCCCCTCTCTCTCTCTCTGTGACTCAAAAATAAATAAATATTTTAAAAAATTAAAAAAAAGGAGTATGCATTTTAAAATCCATGTGAGTAGAGGAGACAAAGCACTCCATCTGGTGAGGTGAGGAGTTGGGTCACTATATGAAAGGATTCATCTACCACAAAAGCGTGAACTAGAAAGAAGTCCACCCTGTGGCGGAAGAAGGTGGCAAGGAATTGTGTCAAACCTAGCCAAAGCTTCCTTGAGAATTTTATCCTTGGCCTTGTACTGCTCAATGGTTTGTCTTTCACATTGAAATTACCTGCTTAGTCCAGGGATTCCAGAACCAAAAATTAACATTAAAAGCATTTCAGGCAGTGAGATTCTTGGGGCATTTCAGGGAGGCAAATACGAAGCCCCCTGTACCCCCACCTAGGGACCTCCCCTTTCCTTAAAAGCCCCAGTAAAGGGATGACAGCTGGAGCAAGGATGGTGACCTCATTGCAGCAGATGGGGTGCTGGTCTGAGGGCACAGCATGGGCTGTCAAGCCAATTACAAACTGTAAGGAATGTTCTTTTTTTTTAAGATTTTATTTATTTATTCATGAGAGACACAGAGAGAGGCAGAGACACAGGCAGAGGGAGAAGCAGGCTCCCTGTGGGGAGCCTGATGCAGGACTCGATCCCAGGACCCAGGGTTCACAACCTGAGCCAAAAGCAGATGTTCAACCACTGAGCCACCCAGGTGGTTCTGCAAGACATATTCTCATTGTGAATTCCCATTCACACTGACCAACATGAATTTTGAAGGCATCCGATTCATGAATACACTTGAGACTCTTATAGCAGCCCTTTTGGAAGATACACATTGCACTAGCTCATTTTCCCCTGAGAATTCATTTACGTGAGGTTTTTAGGGGTGATGAGTGTAAAGAAATGGATATTGAAAATTTAAAGAGATGCTATTTTTAAAAATCCATGTCAAATTACAGGATTATTTTTACAAGTGGAGTTCCAGAAATCACAAGAAAATATGCACACTCATAGAAACTGTACCAAAAGACCTTACTACAGATGAGCTCACAAACCAAAATTACAAAATTTTTGAGGGCACAAGCTGCTGTGAGTGAAATCAGACTCACATTACCTTCAGAAAAAAAGACAGTAGAGATTATGAAATGAATAGGTTTATAATAATGAAAAATTAAGAAATAGGAAACAAAAAGAACAAGATGATCAGGATGGTGATGATGATGAAGAACAGGCAGGTGGTAGAGCACGGGATAGGGAACAGGAGAGAAGGGACCTGACTAAAGGTGGCAGAAGGAGGAGAGCTGACCACATCTTAGCCTCCCTCCATCCTGCATTCATATGAGCCTGAGTCAGGCTGGGCTGGCCGGAGAGAAGTTGAAAATTAAATGAAAGACTAGTGGCTTTAGTATTAAACTTGTCTGAGCCTTTATAAGAACTAGATAATACTCTGTTAATCCCTGGGAATGGTCTGTAAAGCTCTGGACTTGGCTACAGGTATGGTCCTGCTTCCAATTACTAAAAAAAAAAATGATTTTCTAGTTTCATTCTAGTAATGTCTAACACTGTGAAGAGGTTACAGGACTGTGCCTCCAGATGAACAAGGCAAAAATCTAACATGATTTCAAGGAGAGGGGCACCTGGGTGGCTCAGTGGTTGTGTGTCTGCCTTCAGCTCAGGGCGTGATCCCGGGGTCCTGGGATGGAGTCCCACATTGGGCTTTCCACAGGGAGCCTGCTTCTCTCTCTGCCTGTGTCTCTGCCTCTCTCTCGTTGTGTCTCTCATGAATAAATGAATAAAATCTTAAAAAAAATAAATCAAAGATTGTAATGAGAGATGAAGAAGGACACTATATCATAATTAAGGGGTCTATCCAAAAGAAGATCTAACAATTGTAAATATTTATGCCCTCAGCTTGAAAGCAGTCAAAAATACAAATCAACTAGTAACAAACATAAAGAACTCATTGATAACAATACCATAGTAGTAGGGGACGTTACCCCACTCACAGCAAAAGACAGATCATGGAAGCAGAAAATTAACAAGGGAACAATGGCTTTGAATGATACGCTGGAGCAGATGGACTTAACAGATATATTCAAAGCATTTCATCCTAAAGCAGCAGAATACACATTCTTTTTGAGTGCATATGGAACATTCTCCAGAATAGATCACATTCTGGGTCACAAATCAGCCCTCAACAAGCACAAAAAAGACTGAGCTTATACCATGCATATTTTCAAACCACAATGCTATGAAATTTGAAGTCAATCACAAGAAAAAATTTGGAAAGACCACAAATATATGGAGAGTAAAGGACATCCAACTAAAGAATAAATGGGTTAGGGGACCTGGGTGGCTCAGTCAGTTAAGCATCTGCTTTCAGCTCAGGTCATGATCTCTGGGATCTTAGGATCCTAGGATCCCATATCCAGCTGCCTGCTCAGCAGAGAATTTGCTTCTCCCTCTCCCTCTGTTCCTCCCCCCTGCTCATGCTCTCTCTCTCTCTCTCTCTCTCTCTCTCTCTCAAATAAACAAAAAATTTGGGATGTCTGGGTGGCTCAGTGGTTGAGCATCTGCCCTTGGCTTAGGGTATGATCCTGAGGTCCCAGGATCGAGTCCCACATTGGGGTCCCTGCAAGAAGCCTGCTTCTCCCTCTGCCTGTGTCTCTGCCTCTCTCTGTGTGTCTTTCATGAATTAATAAATC